TTCCCTACAGGGCACTCATTTCCCACAAGGCAAAATGAACTTTTAGCTTCTTACCTTTTTATCATTATCAAGATGAAGGTAATATGTAGGATAGAGGCCCCGATCCATCCCCTTCTTATCTCGAGTGACCCGACACTTGATAGTTACTCCCTGAGTAGCCGGCTGTAATACAAATTCCTCCAGATTGTCCACTTCAATGACAGGAGAGGGTGCTCTCTCTTCTTTCTACAGTCCAGCAAAGAGAGTTTGTTTCCATGAACAGACTGCCCTGCGACTTTTGGCATGATCATCACAAGACAAGCACACACAGCCCACTATTCTTGTGCATTCTCATGCATGACCTCATCCTCAATTGCCTTTGTTTTGGGTCTTTGGTTTACCTGTTCTTGCCAAATTATATTGCAACAAGTTTCCTGGTATCCAAATTCTGGTTGCCTAAGAAGACATAGTATGAATTTCTAAGGCCATCTGAAAATGTAACCATTTGAAAATATCAATTTAGTTCATGCAAATGTTTGACTAATCAGATGTTTACTTATTTTTAGTACATTTTTACCCCACCTCTTTATTATAAAAAGCTCAGCAGCTTACAACAGAAACAACCACCACCAGAAAATAAAAGAAGATATAAAAAATATCTAACATAATTTAAAAATAGTAACCCAACATGACCCACCATTCATTATCCATATGTCAGCTAAACAGGTTGTATGTCATCAGGCCTTAGGCAGGTAATCACAAGTGCTTTGAAACTCATGATTTGGGCCTTACAATTTACCACTGGCTTCAATAATGTTTTTTCCTCTCCTCTAAAAAAATGCTCTGCTAATTTTCCTTCAGAATTTTCCCAGAGTTTTTGATTATAGGTGCCCCATTTTCAGGCTTTTTACTTTCCAAAAAATAAGGCTCATAAATAAAAAGTCAAGGGCTTGAAAGAATAAGAGACGTAAAAGGATACAAGAAAATAATGAGATCTTTTAAAAGCATTCTTGTTTTGCACTGGATATTTGCACAAACCCTTACCTGAGCATCTAAATGAAATGGTTTTCTTCCTATGCTTGACTATAATTATCATCAATCTAAGGTTGCCAATGGGAAGAAAAGCATTGGTACAGGTAATGGGGGCTACCATGGAAAGGAAAAAGGAAATAGTGGGGGAGAAGATACAGGAATAATCAGATGTCCTCTGCAATTCCTTGCAGCTCCCCCCCCCCTTGTATACTAGTATTTAGAATGTAACTGAAGGCCAACAGTGTGCTGGGTGCTGTACATGAAAAGAAAATTGACTACGGTGGCCATAGGTGTACCAGGTCTCCCACTTTGTCAGGAGACCTCCTGCCCAGCAACCTGGGCCCCTGCTGCTGCTCCCATGGAGCAGTGGGAGCAAAAGGGGGGTTTGGTGTTATGCCAATGCCTTGATGTCACTTCCAGTGCAAACCCAGAAGTGACATCACTGCATTGGAGCAACACTATAGGACTCACCCCAAACTCTCTTGTATAACCATAGAGTTTTGGTGCAATGACACCACTTCCGAGTTCATGCTGAAATTGACATTGCAGTGTTGGTGCAATGCCAAATTACATTGTCTTCACCTCCCAGACTCTCCTTTTGATTGCCAGGTACCCTGGGCCGTGCCACCCCCGCTAATGCTCAGTGCAGCAGTGGGCGTTTATTTGTGTGTGTGGGGGGGACTGGTAACACACTGATGCCACAATGTCACTTTTGAGTTCATGCCAGTTTGGGTGGTTCTTAGATTGTCACCCCTATGGAGTGATATTACTTTTGGGTTTGTTCCAGAAGTAACACTTGAACGCTTGCCAGAAATTGAACTCAAAAACCAGCGTAAGAATGACTGGTACTGGGAGGCACTTGCTGAGGTCCACAGGTCAGTAAGGGCCCAAGAGCACCAGCATTCTCATTTCACAAGGGTACCTGGGGAGTTCACAGACCATCAGTCTCCTTTGTGCTATCTCCTACACTCCTGGCTGCTTTGCATAGCAGGAGAAGTCTTCCAGTCCTCTGCAATAGTACTCTGGGTGTTCAGAAAGCTTGAATATGAGAAAGACCCACACTCCTATCAGCCCTCCAATGCACCTGGCCTCAAGTGAGCCTTTCCCCCTACAGTCTCCTGTGATGCACAGAGGACCAAGGGAGTATACAAGGTCAAGGTGACATGTTGCACTGGAGAGGAAGGGAGGAGATGCAGGGATGACCAGGCTGGGCTCCATGTAAAGTGAGTCTTTGGCACGGTCTCAAATCACATCTCCAACTCTCATTCTCCTGTCTCCAAATCAGGGAATTTACTGAGGTCAAGAGCCAGCCTGAGGTCTGGCACTGACCAGAGAATATTGGGGAAGGTGTAGGAAAAATCCAGGTGACAGTGAAGGTGACTTGAGTTGTGACTTGGCTGGACCTGGACCCTAACTACTCCAGCTATAAATTCATTACCTGGGCTGGAAGCTGGTCCTGTCTAAATGGCAGTGGGGGAAAATACACTGTTGGAACAGGCTGCATGAATGCAGTGATCCCATCCCTTCCTCGCCTTCTTCTTTAGTGCACAGAGGGGGCTGGCACCACTAACATACTCTGTACTCAGCCAGATTGCAGGTGCTCCTGTCTTATGTAGTTGGTTGCCTAACAAAATGAGTTGTCTAAAGAAGCTGCTCTTAATGCCCCCATGGTTCACGTGTCACCAGAGCTGAAAAGGCTTGGGGAGCTACCTTCTTGGACTTCTTTCCTTTCCCCTTCTTGTTGGTATTCTTCTGAGCTGTTTCTGTTGGGGGGTCTTCTTCACTTTCATTTTCAGTAGTTTTGGCAACAGCTGAAGGCAAAAGAACACTGTGCTCAATGGGAACCCAATGAGAATATGACTTAAAGTTGTACTCAGATTTGGCATGGAAGGAAGGAGTCAGTAGGATGTAGTGGGCTACAGTCCCAGACTAACCCCAGGGAGATGTAAGCTCAGATCCCCACTTGGCTTCCTGAAAGACCTTGGACCAGTCATTCTCCACCTTTCAGCCTAAGCTACCTTACAGGGTTATTGTGAGGATAAAGGTGGTGAGTGGAGGGGGAGCGACATATGATGTCCTTGGGAGAAAGGAATAACAGTGAATGGACGGATAAACCTGTGACCGAACATACACACCACTATGATGATAGCTCAGTGCTATCAAGTCAGAACCAGCTTATGGTTGACCCCTCATGGGGTTTTCAAGGCACGAGATAAGCACAGGAGGTTTGCCACCACCTGCCTCTGTGTAACAGCCCTCATGTTGCTTGGGGGTTTCCCATCCAAGTACTCACCATGGCTTACCCCACTTAGCAGCCAAACTCTAACCAGCTTGAGCTAGTCTGGGCTATTCAGGCTTCTACAGAATAATATAATGAAATGCCATCAAGTCACGACGGATTAATGGAGACCTCTCTTGGGGTTTTCAAGGCATGAGCTGAGCAGAGGTTGTTTGCCATTGCCTTCCTCTGCATAAGAGAGCCAGTGTGGTGTAGTGGTTAAGAGTGATGGGCTCTAATCTGGAGAACCCAGTTTGATTCCCCACTCCTCCACCTGAAGCCAGCTGGATGACCTTGGGTCAGTCACAGTTCTTTCAGAGCTCTTTCAGTCCAAAAAATAAGTCTAGCTAACCATCTAGTGGTGCATAACACTAAAAAGAGCTAGAACTTAAGGCAGCCAGACAGTCTTCAGATCTCCTGACTGTACTACACACGATGCCATACAATAATTAATTAACTCCTCTGAATAGCAACCCGAGATCCCTTGTTTTCTGGCTAAGCTTGAACGTGCATGTGGTAAATTAGCCATGTACATTAACCCACAAGCACACATTGCTAATATGCCCACAATTATGAGTGTTGGGGAGATTCCTACATTGGTGAGTGAAAGTACACAGTAGGGTTGACAGCTACAAGTTGGGAAATACCTGGAGATTTTGGGGGAGGAGCCTCAGGAGGGCGGGGCTTGGGGCATAGTGCCATAGAGTCCAAATTCCAAAGCGGCTATTTTCTCCAGGTGAACTGGTATCTGTTGCCTGGAGATCAGGTGTAATAGCAGGAGATCTCCAGCTACCACCTGGAGGTTGGCAACCCTAGTACACACTTGCCTTTTTTAAAAAAAATCTGTGCAGGGAAAGCAGGATTGGATGAAGTTGCCTTAAAAAAACCATCTGTGCAGGGAAAGCAGGATTGGATGAAACCCCCAAAGAACAGGTAGAGAAAGAGGTACTTTTCTCCTTTTCTCACAATACAAGAACTTGTGGGCACTCCATGAAATTGCTGAGCGGTCGGGTTAGAACGGATAAAAGGAAGTACTTCTTCACCCAAAGAGTGATTCACACATGGAATTCACTGCCAGAGGAGGTGGTGGCGGCTACAAGCATGGACGGCTTCAAGAGGGAATTAGATAAGCATATGGAGCAGAGGCCCATCAGTGGCTATTAGCCACAAGGTATAGATAGGGGCTCTGGGGCAAGTGATGCTCTGTCATCTTGGTGCTTGGGGGGGGGTGTCAACAGTGGGAGGGCTTCTAATGTCCTGGCCCCACTGGTGGACCTCCTGATGGCACCAGGTATTTTTGGCCACTGTGTGACACAGAGTGTTGGACTGGATGGGCCTTTGGCCTGATCCAACATTGGCGTCTCTTATGTTCTTATGTTCTTATCAAGAAGCAGTAGTAGAGGCAGAATGACTGTAAATCAGCTCCACTTAAAGAAGAGTTTGCCAATAAAGACCTCAAACTCAACTAGGTATTGGTGGCACTGTGCTCCTTCCAGTTTCAAGCCTCGAGTCTCCTTTGCCAAACACCTTCTGGGAGTTCATCTTGGTGCTTTTCCTTTATCTACCACCAGGGGCTATGAGACTAACCATGAAGAACCTTCTTGTTCTGCTTCTTCCAGCAAGGCCTGATGTTGTACTTACCCTTCTTTTTTGTTTTTTTCTCCTTTGGGCCTTCTCCCCCAGCATGAAACATGGATGCTGGGCTTTTCTTTTTTTCAGGTTTTGTTCGCTTGGGGCTGGAATCAGATTCATCTTCAGCCTCACTGCCTTTCAGAACTACAGTTATTAAGGGAGAGAAGAAAACAGTCAGGCCAGATTCTTTAGAATATCTAGCAATATGGTTGTGGAATCTTCTCTCAACTCCTCACTGAGTGCGGGTTAGCAGAAGAGTGTTATTTAACATCAGTTCTGGCTAATGCAAGATCAAAACATTGGCACTGGGGAACAATATCATGTATTAATGTCCCAGTGAGGGTTTAATCCTCATTGTTCTTTTAAATTCTGTTGCTCCTCTCATGCGGTCATATTATCATGCAGCACTTTGTGCCCTTCTGTCATTCCTGCCTTGCCTCGCTACCCTTTAGGACTCCTGTGAACCTAAAGTGGGAGAATTGTAGCACCAAGTTCTTTGTCATCTTGCTTACAACAGGAGACCAAAGTCCCTTTTTTTTTGGGGGGGGGTGCAGAGAAGTGGAAGGAAGAAAGCACAACTCACTCTGCACCTGCCATTTCACCACTCCAAGTTCCTATCCTCAGTCACTTTCTTTCCACAGAATTGTAAACACAAACACATGTGTAGTTTGGCCTTGAGAAGGAAGTTGCATGTACAGGGAAAGACAAACAACTAATGATAGCGCCCCCATCCTTCCCCTCTATGGCCCTTTGTGTGTATGTGTGTGTATGTGTGTGTGTGTACAACACTTTCCTGTTGTAATCTTGCATGTCTCATGCAAAGCAGCTATGTGTACTTAGCACACTAGAACAGAGGTGGACAGAAAATCACTCAGGATGGGAGTGACCAATTAGTCTCCAAGCAATAACAAATAGCTCTCCATCCCCCCTCCAGTGCTGCTGTACTCACTTTATTATCCTTCCCTTTAAAGCTACTGCAGCAGCTTCTCTGTTGTGCACAGGAGGAAGTACAGACATGCAAACGACAGGAACAGCACCCTTTCCCCTTCGCCTTGCCTCCTCCTTCACACACAAACACAGGCATCCTTTGATCAGGCTGGGAAAGGATCATGCTATTGACTATTTCACCTCCAAGAAAGTTGCCATTTGCTCTTCCAGAGAAAACACAGAGGTAACTTTGTATTTCCTCCTGACAGTCAAGTTACAATTGGGCTGTTGTATTTCTGGTGGTTTGTATGGGAAAACAACAGAGGAAATGTCCCCCCTTCCCCCAAGAATATCTGCTTTTTATGGATGAGTAATTTCAGCCAATGGAGCTGCGGTGGCTCAAGTGGTTAAGACACTGAACTGCAGGCTGTGGAAGGTCAGTAGTTCAGCAGTTCAAGACCTGGGTGCCGCATGATGGAGTGAGCTCCCATCTCTAGTTCCAGCTCCTGCCAACCTAGCACTTCGAAAGCAAGAAATTGCAAGTAGATAAACAGGTACCACTTCGGTGGGAAGGTAACAGCGTTCTGTGTGCCTTGGTGTTTAGTCATGCCGGCCACATGACCACGGAAACGTCTTCGGACAGCGCTGGCTCTTCGGCTTTGAAACGGAGATGAGCACCGCAACCCTAGAGTCGGATTCGACTGGCTTTCGAGCAAGGGAAACTTTACCATTACCTTTAATTTCAGCCAAGAGAGAGAGGGATTTATCAACAGGATGGGAATGACCCGTGAAAAGACTGCTTACACAAGGTAATACTCAGTTTGACTTCAATCCAATATACCTTGTGAAGTTGTGAACCATAATCAATTTGTCTCAGCTGTTGTTCAAATGCTGACTACCACATGCTTCCATCTGGTCTCAGCCTACAAGGAAAACTGTGCTTCTTGCATGAGTTTTTGAGTGACAGGTGGACCCGGCTGGCCTGCATTGTCTTTCAGATGAGGTGACAATCCATTGTTTGCTTATTTCCCCCAGAATGCGAGTGCTATAATCTTAAATCTACCATAATTAAACTGTGAGCCTGTCAGCATCTAACACAAAAAGCTGACAAGACAGGAGGGTTTCAAGAGCTTGATCCAGATAATCTGCATTTTTTCCTTTTAATTTGTGTAACCTCTAGTCTGAAGAAGTGTTCTGATAAGCTTGAAAGCTTGCATAAGGTTTTCTGTCATTTCGGTTGTCCCCAGTAAAAGGTATTACGTGGATTTTGTGTCTACCCCTCTAACTGTGGTGGTGGTGGAAAGAGCTGTCAAGTTCCAGCCAATTTATGGCTACCCCCATAGTGTTTTCAGGGCAAGAGACATTCAGAGGTGCTCTGCCATTGTCTCCCTCTGCCTAGCAACCCTGGAATTCCTTTGGGTTCTCCCATCCAAATACTGACCAGGGCTGACCCTACTTAGCTTCTGAGATCTGATGAGATTAGGGCCACCCAGGCTAATTGTAGTACAAGTTGCTATGTTATGACTGGCTCTACCTACAAAGCTGTCAGGGGTAGACTGGCTATTATAGCCACTGGAACTTTTCCTGGTGGGCCAATGGCCTGGGGAACCTCCTCTACTCAGCCACCACAAGGGCACTTCCTGGCCAAGATGCATGTGGCAAAGGCACTGCCTAGCTGAGCCGAGTCACACGTGATGCAACAGAGGTGCTGCGAGGCCGTTTCCTGGTGGGCCAATGGCCTGGGGAGCCTCCTCTACTCAGTCACCACAGTCTGGGCCAGATTGCTTGTGGCAAGGGCACTTCCTGGCCAAGATGCATGTGGCAAAGGCACTGCCTAGCTGGGCCGAGTCCCACGTGATGCAACAGAGGTGCTGCGAGGCCTGGCTGAGTCACGCGTGAAAGACACTGCCCAGCTCAATCACATGTGTGAAAGGTGCTGCCTGGCAGAGTGGGGCCACCTGGGTAGGCACCAAAAGAGGCTGGCTGGTGGCAAGTGGCAACCCTAAGTTGTGCCCCTACCTCGGCACCACTGCCCTGGTCGCCTTGCTTGCCTTCCCCCACACTGCCCCCAGAAAGGAGGGAGGGAGGGAGGGAAGAAGAGGAAGCAGCTACTATCTCTCTCCCCTCTGTGATGGCTTCGTGTACACCCAGGCCAATGACAGGAGGCAGGAGCTGGCCTAGGACACGCACCACTGCCCTGGTCGCCTTGCTTGCCTTCCCCCACACTGCCCCCACAAAGGATGGAGGGAGGGAAGAAGAGGAGGCAGCTGCTCTCTCTCTCCCCTCTGTGATGGCTTGGTGTACACCCAGGCCAGTGACAGGAGGCAGGAGCTGGCCTAGGACACCCACACTCTTTGGGCCAGCTCTGTTCATCACCCAAGAAGGCATCTCAACCTGGGGCTCCCTGGGCCAAGTCCAGCACTCTAACCACCAGACTATTCCGACTCTCACCTTTCTTTTTGACTTTTTTGTCTTTCTTGTCCCCGTTAACTTGGAACACAGAAGTTGGCTCCTTCTTTGGTGTCTTTGCAGTTTTGGTCTTGGCATCAGGTTCACCTTTGTCTCCTATTAAGACACAGAGAGGTGAAAAGCATTAGAATTTTATGAAATTAGGGTCAGAGAGGCTCAAAGAGAAGACGAACAGGCAAGGCAGGGTGAAGGAGGGGATAAAAGTTAATTTCAATGAATGGGAATAAAAGAATATAAAAGGGAGAAATGGAGCAAAACTAAAGAAGGCAGACAGACAGGGGTCATTTCCTGCAGGAGCGCACAGGAGCGGAGCTCCGGCAGTAAAGAGCCCAGGGGGTGGGCACATGCAACAAGCCCCACCCCCTGCTCCCCAAACAGGCAAGGCAGGGTGAAGGAGGGGATGGGTCAAGTAAGGAAAGGATAAAAGTGAATTTCAATGAATGGGAATAAAAGAATATGAAAGGGAGAAATGGAGCAAAACTGAAGAAGGCAGACAGACAGGGGTCATTTCCTGCAGGAGCGCAGCTCTGGCAGTAAAGAGCCCAGGGGGTGGGCACATGCAACAAGCCCCACCCCCTGCTCCCAGCAGACCTCAGTCAGGGCAAGAAGCAGCCAGGTAAGCTGCAGAACCACACCAGGCCCCTGGTCCAAAATAGTCCAGTGGCTCCTTTAAGACCAAGTTTTATTCAGGTACAAGCTCTCCCTCCTCTGTGAGGACAGATCTGCACAGTCCCCCCCACCCCCAATAGCTAGCAATCCAAAACAGTCCAGTGGAGCCTGAGTGGTGGGGGATGTCAGGGGGTGTGGCATATGCAAATAAGTTATGCTAATGAGTTATACTAATGAGCTCCTGCACCTCTTTTTCTACTAAATGACCCCTGCAGACAGACCATAGTGTTTAGAGTGCTGAAGGTGGTTGATAGGCTCACTCTTATTCCTTTTGCTGTACTCTTGCCTGCTGAAACAGTGTTTGCAGGTTCGTGAAGACCAACAAAAGCCCACAGTTCGTTTCAGCAGAGACGATAGTAGCTCAAAATAAAGAAGCTGCTTAGCACAGATGGTCCTTTCTAGACCTTCAAAGTATGTTTGTGATAAAAAGAAAGCAAGAAAAGGAGGGTAAAAATGATGGATATAGGAAGGGGCAGGAGAGAAGACTGCAAAATGAAAGGCAAGAAGAGCCTTTCTGTAATCCTCATCCTGCCCATTGGAGCAGGTATTTCTTAGGTGCAGTTCCATAGCCACCTTCCCCATGGACACAAATCTCCTCACACAATGACAGCCACCATTGGCTGGAGTTTCTCTTGACCCAGTGCTGCCCTTCTCCACGACTCTCTTGAGTTCAGAGATGGGGTCTCAGCACTTGGTCCTAAATGTGTTGGCAGAACCTCAGCTGTACATTGCTCTGCCTTATTGTATCGCTGTCCATTTATCTCTGTTCTTTTCTCTTCCAAATCTGAGGCCTATCTACCTCCTCCTCTTCCTTCTCATTACACACACCTCTGACTCTGAGGTAGAGGACATTTATTGTGTCCATTTTCCAATGACCAAGTGAGGCTCAGAGAATCTCAGTGAATTGTCCAAGGATACAGAGGCACTCTAGCACAGAAGGGGTTTTCGACTCATGATGCTGCTGGAATCCTGGTTCTTCTTGTCTGGCCATCCATCGGTAGCTTAATGGTTGAAGCTCTTGTAGCTCATGACTTTTGTTCCTGGTCCCTCAAGGAGTCAAGTTAACCCTCATGAAAAATGCCAAGGCTGTCTGGTTACTCTTTGGCCATGGAGAAGGGCAGAGCTATGGATGAAGTGATCCCCCCCCCCCGGTTTCAAAGCCTCCTAGTCTCACTGGCTGTGACCCTTTTCATAAGTGAGATGGATTTCTTGTGCCTAGTCATGCAGGTGTCATAACGTGTCATAATGATGCACTGAAATTTTGACTAAGGAAGCAAAACGGGTCGGTTACTAATGGCAAAACTGAACCGGGAACAGATAGCAAAGTCTGAAAACACACCAGTCCCAATATCCTCCACTAGAACACTGAATTAGTTGACCAATGATGGAGCGAGGGCTTCCAAGATATTCCATCTTATTCTATATAATAATAATGATGATGAGAAGCTCTGTCAAAGGCTACCTTTGAACATTTGAAAGGCCTGTAATTTTATGCCAGTGTTATCGTAGGGACTTCTGCGGAAGTATTTTGGGAGCTGAACACATGAAGCTACCTTATACTGAGCCAGACGCTTGGTCTATCAAGGTCAGTATTGCCTACTCTGACCAGCAGGGGTTCTGCAGGGTCTTGGGTTGAGGTGGTTCACATTACCAACCACCCAGTCCTTTTAACTGGAGAAAGCAGGGACTGAATCCGCATGCAAAGCAGATGCTCTGTCTGTCACTGACCCACCTCTCCCTGGAGTTTGATGAAGATGCTGAGAACCCTCTGTGTAGTTCTCAGAGGTTTGTAGGGAGAGGGAGACACCCTCAAACCAATATGTCTGTAGTACAGACATAGACCATCTCAGAGATTTCTCATTACGTCCCTGCTTGAGATCTTCACTCTTGTGACCAGCCCTTATCCCCTTCAGATAATGGATAGTCTCCAGCTTCCTTAAACAGCTCTACTCTTCCTTTCTTGCTGCTTATTTTGTGCTGAATTCCTGCTTTAGAGCATACCTAGTCCTGCCTCATTTTCTTCCATCAAATAATTGCTCAAAACCATCTTTTCCACATGACCTTTGCCATATCCTTTAATCTCCATATCCTTTAATCTCCATGCCCAACTGTAGCCAGTTTTTATAACTGTACAATTACATTTACCCACCTTCACGGATCAGCATGCATCCCTGCCTTTGTGTTTCTCTCTCTTCCCAGTGGCAGGACCACGTGTCTTCCTCGCAGAAGGCGCAGAAGGTACCTAGTTTCAAAGCTCTCCAGTTAAGGGATCTCAGTGAACAGGTGTTGGGAAAGACCTTTATCTGCTGAGACTCTGGAGACCTGCTCCCAGTCAGAGTGGCTTGTCTGAGGAAGAAGGATCAGTAATCTGACTTGTTATAAGGTAGCTCCATGTAGATAGCCCAGGCTAGCCTGATTTCATCAGATCTCGGAAACTAAGCAGCTTCAGTCCCGGCTGGAAGGGAGACCGCCAAGAAAGACTAGGGAGGCTATGCAGAGGTAGGCAATGCCAAACCACCTCTGAACGTGTTTTGCCTTGCTATACCCTACAGGGGTCCCCATAAGTCAGCTATAACTTGACAGCAAAAACAAAACAAAACATGTCTTCTCCATTATCTATTTAGATTGTAAACATTCTCAGGGTAAGAAGCTATCTATTTTTGCATGTATATCTCTGTTAACTGCCCAAAATATACTACTAGCATCACTACTACTTCTGCTAAGAACAATAGTTTGTCACTGACCTTTACTTTTGGACTTCTTTTCCTTACTGTCACCTGCTGGAGTATTTTTATTGATCTTCCTTTTTGGCTTTTTGGGGGGATCTTCACTTTCTACCTCTTCTTCCTCCTCTTCTTCATCTTCCTCCTCTTCAGAGGCCTCTGGAAATTTCGGGTTTGGACAAGCAGGAGTTGAAAGGGGGAAAGGAGAAGAAACAGCCATGTAAAGGAACCCAACAAAAACTTTAACAGCCAGAGGCAGGTGGAAGCGTTTCTTTAGCTTTGGAGCAAGTGAACTCTGCTGCCTGGACTGTAGTATTTATTATTACAGTAATTTACAACTAATCAATGTGAGCTTGCAAAGTGCGCCCCAATTTTATCTGTTCCATTTTCATGATTCTCCCACAATTCCATCATGGTGCGGGCTAGATAAGGGAAGTTCCTTGCTGTGGGGCTTTGTCACTTTCACCAAGTGGGAGAGATGAACTAAACCAGGTGCTTTTTCACATGCAAGGAGGGTGGGTGCCACAGTTCTAGAGGCACATACAGCCCTCAAAGTTAAATCTGTGGCTGCCAGGTGCCACACAGACTAGCACAAAATAATACTGCATGTTCATTTGTTAAAGCATCTTGATTTTTGGCTGCCAGGGACTTCCAACACTACAAAAGTATATCTTTAGGGGGGTTGTTTGTTTGTTCATGGTTTGTTTTGCAAAATGTAGCTCTTGAGGCTGCAAAATGAAGCAGAAGACTTGTGTGGTGGAAGAGGGGTTCCCAATTCTTTCATCTTGAGTTGTTTATTTGCTAAAATTGCTTTTCCCCAATCTGCATTTTGCCCTGCAAGGGAAAAGTACCCATTACTTTTCCTTCGTGGGGCAAGAAGCAACTTGTGGAATGATTCCTAATAGGAAAACAGCACAAAGGGAAAGGATGAAGAGCCCTTTCTCCACCACACCAGTCTGCCGGTCTACTATGCAAATGCCACTGCTATATCCTAAAAAAATTAAGCACTGGGACAACTAGCTTCTAAAAAGAGCTGGGAGAGGGAGAGAGAGAGATTTGCAGCAACACAAACTGTGTTTAGGTGCACAGAAAAACAACTAGGTGTTTGTTTATGCATGCACTGTTGTTCCTATATATCTATCAGGTTATGACTGAGAATACCATTAAGGCACAATTCAAAGATTTTGCATGACTATGGCAAATGGCAGCTGGCACTGAAAGAGCTCTGGGAGACTTTCGACTCAACTTCTACTCCTTACCCACACACCAACTCCTCTGCTCTCAGCTGGAGGTCATTTGAAAAACAAAATGGCACAGGGATGGAGATCAAAGAGTGGTGCACCCTCTGGAATCTATGGCTTGAATCAGATTGCACTCGAGGTGCGTGTCTGTGCGTGTGTGAATGCAGATGCACAACTAAGCGAGAGAATGGGATAGGGTGAGGGGAGCTGGCAGGGCCCTTACCTTGTCTCTTTTTCTGGGTCTTGGCCACACTGAAATGAGATGATGGGGGTTCCTTCTTTTTCTTTGGATCTTTAATGAATTTGGCATACGGGTCCTTGTCATTCCCTTCTTCCGACTTCTCTTCCTTCTTCTTTCTCACTTTTTTGACACCAGCTTGTGACAAGAAATGCCACAGTCAGAATGTATTAGGGGGAAAGCCAGGGAGGTACAGACAGTGGGAGATGCCATTGCAACGATCAAGGGTCTCGTGTGAGAGCAATGTCTATGATTGGGGCTTTTTGGGGGGGGTGTTGGGAGAAAGGCCACAAATAACCGGGTCTTTTGGAAAGCAACAAGTAACTTGCTTTTGGGAGGCCAGAGAAGGCTGCCCCATTTTTTCTCTTTCATAATGAATGACTATCAGGAAGGTCAGTTCTGTGCACCAGGACAGGAGGGAAGGGATGACACGGTGGCCATCTCCAAAGTTCTGTCTGCAGTAAATGCTTCGGGGCGACCTTCCATATGCTTTCCCCCTATGGCAGTCCTAAGGCTGAATTTAGTTTAAGAATATATGTTTGGGAGATGGTTAAATTCAGATAGTTAGATGGGAGGGGGCTGTGGCTCAGTGGAATACCCTCTGCTTCGCATGCCATTTTCAGGTCCAGCCCCCGGCATCCCCGGTTGAAAAGGGATCTAAGAGGCGATGGGAAAGACCTCTGCCTGAGACCCTGGAGAGCTGCTGCCAGCCTGAGTAGGACCATGCTCACCTTGATGGACCGATGATCTGATTCAGTATAAGGCAGCTTCCCGTGTGCCTGTGTGTGTGTGTGTATTTCCCAGCCCTGTGTTTCTGCCCTTCTCTTGGATGAGCTGACTAGAATACAACTGTTACAATATGGGCGTGAGGTGTGTGCCATGACCAAATCAGATGTGACCGTGGCACAACTTAATTTGCATTGGGCCGAATTCCTGTAAACTGTATGTAAAATTTAAAGCACAGTGGGCCAGATGAGACAGTGTGTGGCACCCATTCTCTGCCCATGCCCCCTGGAACAGATTATCCCCAGTTATTTTTATTGCAACATGTTTTGCTCTAGTCTCAAAGACCCATCAGGAGAAAACTATTTGGGGAGAGAGACAGTTCCATGGGGAGAAGCGTGGGCAGCAGAAGGATTATTTCCCCCCCATGCCCTCCCCACACTGCACGTTCAATTGCCATCACCCCATATGATAGGGATGCGTCAGCCACCGCTTTCAGACACACAGATCGACAGCCATCAACTCTCGTTGGACCCCTAAGGATGCATTTCTTGAAGTCTATGATAAAAACACAAAAGGAGCCCTGCTGGGTCAGACCCCTGGTCCATCTCATCCAGCATCCTGTTTCACACAGTTACCCTGGTGGGCCAGCAAACAGGACATGGAGAACAAGGCCTTCCCGTGATGTTGCCGCCAAGACTGGTATTCAGAGATTTACAGCTACTGAGTGTGGAGGTTTTCCTTGAGTCACTATGGCCAGGAACCATTGATTGACCTGTTCTGCTTGCAAATATAAAACTTATATTGGGTGCAAAATACATTAGATTTCTCTTCTGTGTTCCACTCATAACAAGCAACATTCATTCTCAACACAATGAACACAAGATAGGTCAAGGCTGTGCAACTGTGCTTAGCAAAATGTGTGAAAATAGTCTAAGATTATCTTGACCTACCAATTATTTGCAGGTTCTCACAAAATGAGATTTAAAAGAGGCTTTTCTTAGTGCGGCTCCTTTATGACTGGCAGGCTTATGGCCATTTCTAAGCTATTTGAGGGCACAGCTGCGGATGAGCTCATTCCAGCCATTCATTTAGTGATATTGATGTACTAAATTGACACCCCACCTTTTGGTCTGGTGGAGCCATGAAGCGGCTTGCAGTAAGAACTAAAGAACAATGCAATGATTTCTAAAGCTTTGAAAGAGAACAAGATTCATCCCAGCAATCCAGCAACTTCATCATGTTTGTGTTTTTCTTTGCTTGTGTGCTGAAGAGCCTGCAGCAAAGACCCTTCGAGGGATGGCGTTCCAAGGCAGAGAAGACCCTCCTCCTTGTGACTGCCAGTTTGGCTCCTTGTGGCACCACTCAGAGTTCAATCTAATTTGATAAGAATGCAGGTATTTGGCAGAGAGGGAGAGGACTCATATAGGAGATGCTCCTGGAGGTAACTTGGTCCCAGGCCATTAAAGACTTTGAAATGTAAGCCCCATTAATTGGCAAGTCTACTGGCATGATACATTTCTAGGGTTTAGTCCCAGTCGACAGCTGGGCTGCCACTATTTTGCACCAAGGCATCTTCCAGATGATGTTGAAGGGCATCCCTGCATAATGCACATTACAGTAGTCCATATACTAGGTTCCAGGGTGCGGAGAAGAGTGGCTAGATTGTCTTTTACCATGATTTGCATATGGAAGTTGCTGGCATCCTGAGCAGAGCCCACAACGATCTCCTACCTTTCTGCTGGACAACAGGAAGGCCATCTAGAGTTCAGTAGCAGAGCACAGGTTTTATCCCAGGTTCCATTCCTGGCATATGAAATAAATCTCACGAGGCAGGGCTACAAAAGACATTTGCCTGAGACCTTGGGAAGCCATTGTCAGTCAGACCAGACAGTGCTGGAACAGACAGACAAGTGGTTGGATTCTGTATAAGGCAGATCCACATGTCCATAAAGCCCAATTCCTGGTGGCCTCGTCATTTCCCTTACCCTGAGTGGGGGCAGTGGTCTCCTCTGCAGGGCTCGATTCCTCTGGTTTCTTCACTCTGGATTTCTTTGGCTTGGCTTCCAGCGTGGCCTCCTGCTGTTTCTTTTTTGGCTTCTGCTACAGTAGATGTAGCTGTAAGAGACAGCAGGTGTGTTATTTACAGAGAACGAATAGGAAAGTAAGGTCTTTACCCTAGTATATCCCCAGATTTTAACCAAGACGTGCTTGAAATGACAGCCTAGTGACACACAGCTCCTCATTCTCTGGTCCCAATAGTGTAAAAGTTGCACTGCAAGAACAGTCCAGGACCTCATATGAACAAGTACCTACCCCACATACATCTCAACATCTATGAATACCATTTCTAACAGCAAGACAAAGCTTGTTATGATTGAGGCAGGTGTCTGTCAAGATCTCTTTCTTCTAAACACAAATTGTTTTGCAAAAGAGAAGGGGCCATGCAAACATGCTCAGATGGGGAGACAGGATTCCCTGGTTGGTAAACTTTCCAGCACCGGCTGCATCCCACTCTGTCTATGCTATGAGGATGAAAGGGAGAGAGAAAGTACATTTCCTGTTCCCTGCCATCAGGGCCTCTGCACTGGACTGCACGGGAGCAGAAGGGACAGTATCCAGGTGAACAAAGTGATGAGATGCAGCAATGATGGCAAAATGCCAGCCCAGCCTTTTGGTGACTCCCGGATGACCCCCACCCCCATGGATTGACTCAGGAACCAGAGGAAGCCTGGGCAGGTCTTCCAGCAGTGACAAGGTCAGTGTCCTCTGCAGCTCCCTTTCTCACGACTATTATTCCCTTACACTATTCACCCTGGATAGATCCCCAGTCTTCATGCCTTTCTCCCACTTTGGTTTTCTATAAAAGGAACATGAGTATGCTAATTAGAAGAAAAAGATGAGCAACTGATTCTGGATGCGATACTCATAGCTGTCACTGCTGTTTTGCTTGTCAGAGCATGCACCCCATGTGCTAGTTGCATGTATGCACTACTAAAGGTAAAGGTAAAGGTTCCCTTGCTTGATAGCCAGTCGAATCCGACTCTAGGGTTGCGGTGCTCATCTCCGTTTCAAAGCCGAAGAGCCAGCGCTGTCCGAAGACGTTTCCGTGGTCATGTGGCCGGCATGACTAAACACCAAGGCGCAGGGAACGCTGTTACCTTCCCACCAAAGTGGTACCTATTTATCTACTTGCAATTTCTTGCTTTCGAACTGCTAGGTTGGCAGGAGCTGGAACTAGAGACGGGAGCTCACTCCATCATGCAGCACACTCGGGTCTCGAACTGCTGAACTACCGACCTTCCACTGCCTGCAGCTCAGCATCTTAACCACTTGAGCCACCGCAGCTCCATATGGCATCTGGTTAGTAGCACTACTAACCAGATGCCAATTAAAAAACTAAAGTGGCAGCTGTGAGAGATGGTCCAGAACCAAAACCTTTGGTGTCTGCAAAGTGTGGAAAGATGTGGCAACTCACAACTGAACGATACAAGGAGGAGCAGATGAGATGGCCCTTCTGGATTTAGAAAGGCTCCTTGCCCATCAGGATAGTAGCTGGGTGTGTTACAACATAGTAACTGGAGTGTGTTACAGCTTAAACAAACAACGCTTTGTTGACAACGTGCAGAACTAATCTACATCTACTGCCAATGATCTCACAGGCTTGCCCTTGAAATGGTGGGAAAGTCATAAAATGAGGATTCTTGTTATATGCCTCCTTTTGTTTTTAATAGCGTCTAAACTGCAATCACACTCATTGGTTACATGTATAGTTTGATTGTCTTCTATCATGGTAGTGTAGAGAGAATTTCCAAGAGATTTCCCATCCAGGCACCAACCAGAGTTGCTTAATGTCAGCAAGGATCTTGTGTCTTACACAAGTAAACATGTAAAAGATACCTCAAGGTCACAACAATTAGGCAGGCCTTTAAAATAAGGTAGGGCAGGCTCATCCTGAATGCTACCCCTGCTTTTGACCCTATGCTGGGATGGTTTTCTTTGTAAACAAAAGAACAAGAAGCAGATGTATCAAGTCAATGACCTATTAAATATAGGAGATAACCAGTGTCAGCCCAATACCATTGGGCATTTATTTCTTTCACAACAAATTAAACCAAAGGGAAGGTGACAAAAGCACAGAATGCCATTTTCTGAGCAATGATGATAACTACGCCCATCTTTCTTGAGCTCTGGGCTTCCTTTAGGCTGTTCCACAATTAGCGCCACTAGATGGCCCAGCCACATACTTAAAGAGAAAGTAAATTACCCATCTCAGTTGGCATAGTAATAAAGTGAATAAATATGCTACTGGACCCATTGAGTCAACTGGAGTGCTACAACTGGATGTTTGCTGCAACTTAAATAGGTTGTATAAAATGTATGTCCATATTTTGGCCTACTATGTGGGAATTTGCCAGGTATTCTCACAGAAATCTGCAGACAAAGACAATACTGCCATATAGTTCAGGTTTCAGTTTCATATTCTCCTTTCCACTGCTGATCTGTGGTTCATCTGGGTGTCTGCATGCATCATGGGTTCTAGCTCAGAGTCTAGAAGCCCTGTCTTGTACCTTTGCAATCAACTCTCTGCTTTGTTTATGGTATGTCATAGTTTAGGTAGTTTTCTGTTTGCATTGTTTCCTAATTTCTGTAATCCTAGTCCTATTGTTTTGTTACTGGACAAACAAAGTAATAAAGCAATAGAACTAGGACTACAGAAATTAGGAAACAATACAAACAAAACTTGCTAAATCATGGTGTACCATAAACAAAGCAGAGCATGGATTGCAAAGGTACAAGAAAGGTCTTCTAGATATATTTGGGAAACACAATGTCTGGTGTACAAGACATTGTATAAGAGAAGAAGAGACCCTGAAGGGGACAGCAAGATAACAATGAGATAGGATAGTGAGCACGTATTCTCCTGTTAAGTGTCATTCCTTGTCTGTCTCTAGATGGCTACTCTTAGGGCAATTTCTCCTTCTCGAAAGTTCCACACTCAGTCTTACCCTCTCTGTTAGCTAGAGATGTAGTTAGGATTAGGATCTCTGTCTCTCCTCTTTCCCATCAAGTATGTTAGTTCATAAATAAACCACCATATTCACCTTAATTAGGTTGTGCACTGTTGCTGTGTTAATTATTCTGCCAACATATAACATCCTAAAGCATTGGAACAGCAGTAGAACCATAAATGAGCTACCCCACTAAAAAGAAAGGGGTTCTTTTGTAAAGTGAAAATTCCCTGATGGAGATCCATTTGGTGCAAGCCATACTGATATTAATCATTGAAGATTTTTCAGTAGCACCATTTGTACCAGAATAGCTGCATAGTAAAAGCAGACACGTTCCTGCACATCCCACTATGTAGTGTCCTGTCTTTCTTGTGTCAGCTATATATTGGTATATTGTAATACGTCAGAACTGATAATGAGTTCACAGCATTTCTCTGAGAAAGTTTTAACAGAACCGAAACAAGATTACTTTCTTGTTTATTTATTTAAAACATTTTAGTTGCCTTTTTCCTTAGGAGAAGTCAAGGCAGCTCACAACATAAATAAAACTATTATAAAAACACAATAAAAACCATATAAAATAAAACAACAATTATAACCCCCCAAAAAAGTAGCAATTTAAACTTTCCCTCATTTTAGATTCTGAATAGTCAAGGAAGCGTTGATATCCTGTATACATTGCCCATATTTGACCTTCAGTATTGATCCTGAAGTGGAATTAACTGTTTACAGACACAGACCACCATAGTGGAGTGGTGAGCATGTGAAACTAGGGCCTGGGACAATCCAGGTTCAGATCCCCACTCTGCCGTGGAAGCTTGCTGGGTACGCCTTGAGCAGTCGCTGTCTCTCATCCTAACCTCCCTCAAAGGGTTGTTAATAACAGCCTGTTATAAGCATAAATGGAAGAGAGGGTGGGTTTAAAATGTGCTAAAATAAGTCCATGAGGTAAGAAATCAGAGTAAATTTTACTTCTGCTATGCAAAAAACATAAAATGGACTCGAGTATGTCAGTGCCTAAAGACAGGAGCTTTACACCACAATGACAGAGGTAATAACTTTTTGTTGTTGTTCAGTCGCACAGTCGAGTCCGACTCTTCGCGACCCCATGGACCAGATCACGCCAGGCCTTCCTGTCTTCCGCCGTCCTCTGGAGTTGGCTCAATTTCATGTTCATTGCATCTATGACACTGTCTAACCCTCTCATCCTTTGCCGTCCCCATCTTCTTTGACCTTCAATCTTTCCCCTCCTCATTAACACATTCTGATATAGGGAAAAATCCTTCATCTTCTGTAGTTAAAGATCTCCAAATTTGTGTGTGCTAATTAATGCCTGTCATTGAAATAATCCCATTTGAGGATGATGATACATATTACCACTACCACCACTCATACTACTACTAATAAAGCAACTTACCAGACAGGAAGCCCATTGATAGCAAACGGGGAAACAAATGACAAGCCATGCATTAATTTGATGGGGCATCAGAGGGAACAGAAAGCTCCTAGCTGGCATGGAGGCAGAACACTGTGTTCCAGCCTTAGTCTTTCCATGAGAAACATGGAGAAATCATTTCCTTTTTAGGCAAGGAAGAGGAGTGACTCACCACAAAATGCTGTGCTGTAGCCCTAATCCTGCCCCGTAGGCCAGGACAGAACTAGGGACATTTAATTCCTCTGAGTTCAGTGGGTTTATTTATGTATGCCTAACTCTGTAGTGACCATAGTGTTTTAAGTGTACAAATATAACAAGGATGGAGACTTGCTGAATCATAAAAGCCCGTTTCTCCCCTCTCCTTTTTTGATATGCACCCTAGTGCAGGAAAGGGACAGTGCACTTAACTTCAAAAGAAAAAACACATTAAGAAAGTATCCTGTATTAGCAGAGCTATGCTGCAGGAGAGGGGGGGAAAGTCCTTCACTTTGATTTCATGTCTGAAGGGCTGCATGAGGACTCAGACTACTTCACAAACAACTTTATGCTTCCTTTGTATCTTGGAGGATGCATTCGTCATCCCAAACTGGCTACATCACCTGCTTATTCAAGTAACGGGAACAGTGTGACCATCAAAAGCTAGAAGAAAGAGTGTGGGTAACACGTGAGATGTGCACATTTTGTGCCTGCAAAAAGCAAATGTGATTCATTTTGAATAAAAAGAACACTGAAAATGTTGAGTCACATATCCATTTAGAAGACATAAAGGAAGGCAGCAGCATTCACCACCCTTGAAACTTGTGTCTCACCATTATTATATACATTGGGAGTGATTGTGTGCCTCAGTTAACACACAGTCAGATACACATACCTGTTTAGGATTGCACCATTACAGTGCAATCTCATGCTGAATTATTCCAGGCTAAACCCACTAAAGTCAGGAGGCTTAGACTAGAACAACTGCATATGTACAATTATTCTGCATGTGCAGAGTAGCCCTTTGGTGGGCTTACAGAGGAATAACTCTGCATAGGACTGTACTGGACTAATGAAATGCTCATAGCTAGCTTGTAGGAACATAGTTTCTTTGAGATTGAGGTCACTCAGAGGCAATAAAGGTAGGAAGCAAAGGGATCAGATTACATGTGCTGTGTCTAATCCCATTTCATCAAAGGCTATATATTATAATTATTGATCAAATGCAAGTCATGAAGCTTTGGCAATAAACCTGGTAGGGAAACAGGTGTCCATCTGGAGCCAGCAGCTTAACTCAAGTGGGCATAAATAATATTGCTGGTCTGCTTATGAAAGATTATTAGCGAATGGGCTATTTAGTTTGGTCAGGCTGGTTATCTTAGATCTACCTCTAGGCAAGAAGAATCACAGCCCATTATCTAATCAGCCAGATGTTGCTACTGTGGTGTCCATATGGTGTAGTGGCTTTATTTATCAAAAATTTTACCCCACCCTCCCCCCCGAAGCAGGCTCAGGGCGGCTTACAGAGAATTAAAACACATAGATGGGCATTAAAACAATCATAAAACCTTCTAAAAACATGGATGGAGATGTGTACTGGGGAAATGAGAGTCCAAATGCTCCCTTCATAATGACTGTTGGATGCCTCTGGGTAAGTCTCTCGGTCTAAACTCTTTACTGTAATCCGCCATCTTGGGAAATATCATGTGAGAACAACTAGAGCACTTTATTAATAATAATGTTATTGTATTGTTGATATTTTAAATGGTTTTAACTATATTATATTGGCGTATGCCTCTGTGTAAGCCGCCCTGAGCCCGCGCAGTGGGGAGGGCGGGGTATAAATTGAACCTACAAATAAATATAAGTAAAATAAATTTACAGAGTTGTGAGCATAGATTGGAAAAACATACATCATCCTGAACTATTTGGTGGAAGGGATGACAAATAAATATAAGAAATAAAGACTCATCACACAGTTTACTCCAAAAACAACATACAGAGCAATTTAGACTTCTTTGAGATGCAGTCTGCATTTTGCCATAACTTAGCACACAAGCTTTAGGCCTTGCCTGCACCTTTGATCAACCATTACTAAGGCCTAGGAGCCTCACCTTTCTTACATGGCTGCCACCGTCGTCCATTCCGTGCTGATATTCTCAGTTGCTCAGAAGCATTGCAGCATCAATCTAGTTCCACAGCTAGATAGGGGCAGGTCTGCTATATTTTCCTAAACAGCTAATGTTTGATGTTGCTGTAGGGGAAGCCCCATAGAGCAGTCAGAGATTAGGCAGACACATTTATACAAGTGCTTGAAATTTACTGTAGGAATCAGGTGAAGGTGAGAGTGGAGAGAATTTTCCTACCTGCTTATTAGGTCTCTGCTGCTGGGGGCTCCCAGATTCCTCATTCACACTAGTAAAGACAGGAAAACTAGGTATGAGGCAGATATAATTTACACAGGAGTCTGATAAACATTTATGGAGCTCTCCCAAGCCACAAGGAAAAGAACTGAAAATGTCTATGCCAGCTGCATAAGAGCTGGGCTGAGCATGTGGCCTTTCTCTTTACGCAGACAGCTGAGTTGGGCCACAGTAGGATTGCCAGTTGGGCCATCAAGATTTGCCCACTGTGGGTGAGGAGATCTCCCACCCCACAGTGGGCTTTTCCTGCCAGCACTCCAGTGGCTGATGGAAGAAAGAAAAACATTTAAAAAGCTGTCAGCAACAGTGTGATGGAAAACCCAGGAAAATCTGGAAGTGATGTCACACCCACGCTATAAACCACAGAGTGGCCATGACATCACTTCCAGATGGTAAAACCATATTGCTCTGGGCAATTCTAGAGAGGAGTGATATCACTTCTGGTTTTTCCCATGTCACTTCTGGCCCCCCGTGTCCCTGCTCCAGTCTCCCACTGCCCTAGGCCAGAGCTATGAGCCAAAGGGTAAGAATCAAAGGGACCTTGGCCCTTAGCCTGTGGCCCTGTGTAAGCTGTGCCATTAGAACTAGCCTGAGATGCCCTTGTACCACATTGCCTAGTTTAAGATTGTATGGGTACTGCTGGGTCATGTATTTTATTTAAATTGTATTTCATGTGTATTTCACTTTATAAGCCACTTTGATTTCCTAACATGGAAGAGAAGCAGGGTAACAACATTTAAACAAACAAACAAAACAAAACAAATACATAAGAAGTATCTGAGGGAAAATACGTAATCATGGCACCCAGAAACTGTGTGCAATCCTTTTTCTTGCCAGCAGGTGGCATTGCAGTCTGTCTAGGGCACATCCAGTCAATTAACATTCATCATAAATTTTGTTATTGTTTGCAGTGAATACATATGACTCATACGATGACTCCTCGATCAGTCACTTCCACCAGACTTCTTGCAAGAAAGTTAGGGGACTAGATGCAAGGAGGACAGCCTCTTTAATAGTTGCGTGGGAGGGGAAGATCCAGCAGGTGCATTGCCACAATACAGTGATGTCATCACACCGTGTCAAGCCAGGAGATTTCTGCACATGTATAGTGAGGCCAGTCTCTGATTAGATGTATAATGTGGCCCTAAAAGAAGCCACAGGTAGACCAGATATGAATAACGGGGTCATGGCACTGGAGAAAGGAAGTTTAATTCCTCCCTGCTGCGCCATAACCTCGACCAAAAACCTTCCTGCTACTTTAGAACCTGGTGGGGGTAAAAACCCCAAACACAAGATAGGTACCTGGGATTAAAAGCAACATTTCCGGTCAGAGAAGGAGCATGAGAGATGGGAAGTGTTAACACACACATTCCCCAGCACCATAGACTTGATCCAGACCAGTCTGCCCTCCCGTATCACCTTACATGTCTGGGGTTCCAGTCTGAAACTCCAGCACCATGTACAACTGAGTACCCAGTCTCTTTCCCACTTGGCTACATCCAACATTCACAAATGAGCCTTCCCACAAAAAAGTAACAGAACTATCCTAAGCAAAGTTACACCCTTTTGCATCCAATGAAGTCAATTATCTTTTTTTGCTGTCAAGTCACAGCTTGACACAAGTGACCCCATGTGGTTCTCAAGGCAAGAGATGTTCAGAGATGGTTTGCTGTTGCCTTGTCTCCTTGTCATGACCCCAGTATTCTTTGGTGGTCTCCCATCCAAATACTAACCAGGGCTGACCCTGCTTAGCTTCTGAGATCTGATGGGATCAGGCTAGCCTGGGCTATAGAGGGTACAATTCTGCTTAGGCTTGCTTTGTAAATTACTTTGTGCTAAATGTTAGCCAAAGGAATGGTAAGCCAGGCAACCTTTTAAACAATTTGCATATCTGCACCATTCTATATAATTTGCAGTCAAAGATGGAGAAGCTCTATCCAGTCAGTAAAAACAAGACCTGGAGCTGACTGTGGCTCAGATCATGAGCTACTCATTGCAAAATTCAGACTTAAACTGAAGAAAATTGGGAAAACCACTGGGCCATTCAGGTTTGACCTAGATCACATCCCTGATGAATATACAGTAGAGGTGAAGAATAGATTCAAAGGACTAGATTTGATAGACAGAGTGCCTGAAGAACTATGGACGGAGGTTCGTGACATTGTACAGGAGGCAGCAATCACCATGCAAGAAAGCAAAGTGGCTATCTGATGAGGCTTTACAAATAGCAGAGGAAAGAAGGAAGGCGAAAGGCAAAGGCGAAAAGGAAAGATTTACCCAACTGAATGCAGATTTCCAGAGAACAGCAAGGATAGATAAGGAGGCCTTCCTGAATGAACAGTGCAAAGTAATAGAGGAAAACAATAGAATGGGAAGGACTAGAGATCTCTTCAAGAAAATTGGAGAAATCAAGGGAGCGTTCCATGCAAAGCTGGCCATGATAAAGGACAAAAACGGTAGGGACCTAACAGAAGCAGAAGAGATTAGGAAAAGATGGCAAGAATACACAGAAGAACTATACAAGAAAGACCTCAATGTCCTTGACAAACACGACGGTATAATCACTGACCTTGAGCCAGACATCCTGGAATGTGAAGTTAAATGGGCCTTAGAAAGCATTACTAACAACAAAGCTAGTGGAGGTGATGGTATTCCAGCTGAGCTATTCAAAGTCTTAAAAGATGATGCTGTTAAAGTGCTGCACTCAATTTGCCAGCAAATTTGGAAAACGCAACAGTGGCCACAGGATTGGAAAAGGTCAGTATACATTCCAATCCCAAAGAAGGGCAATGCCAAAGAATGTTCAAACTATCGCACAATTGCACTCATATCACACGCTAGCAAGGTCATGCTCAAGATCCTACAAGCTAGGCTTCAACAGTACGTGGATAGAGAACTACCAGAAGTACAAGCTGGGTTTCGAAGAGGTAGAGGAACGAGAGATCATATTGCCAACATTCGCTGGATTATGGAGAAAGCAAGAGAGTACCAGAAAAATATCTACTTCTGCTTCATTGACTATGCTAAAGCCTTTGACTGTGTGGATCACAACAAACTATGGCAGGTCCTTAAAGAGATGGGAGTACCAGACCACCTCACATGTCTCTTGAGAAACCTGTATAAGGGCCAAGAAGCGACAGTTAGAACCGGATACGGAACAACTGATTGGTTCAGCATAGGAAAAGGAGTACGACAAGGATGTATACTGTCACCTTGCTTATTTAATATATATGCAGAGTACATCATGCGAAATGCTGGCCTGGATGAATCACAAGCGGGAATTAAGATTGCTGGGGAAAAGATCAACAACCTCAGATATGCAGATGATACCACTCTAATGGCTGAAAGTGAAAAGGATCTAAAGAGCCTCTTGCTCAGAGTAAAAGAGGAGAGCGCAAAAGTGGGCTTGAAGCTCAACATCAAAAAAACTAAGATCATGGCATCCGGCCCCATCACTCCTTGGCAAATAGAAGGGGAAGTCGTGGAAGTAGTGACAGACTTCACGTTCCTGGGATCCCAGATCACCGCAGACTGTGACTGCAGCCATGAAATTAAAAGACGCCTGCTCCTTGGGAGGAAAGCGATGGCGAACCTAAACAGCATGATAAAAAGTAGAGACATCACCCTGCCAACAAAAGTCCGCATGGTCAAAGCAATGGTATTCCCAGTAGTCATGTATGGCTGCGAGAGCTGGACTATAAGGAAGGCCGAGCGCCGAAGAATAGATTCTTTTGAACTATGGTGCTGGAGAAGACTCTTGAGAGTCCCTTGGACTGCAAGAAGAACAAATCAGTCAATCCTCAAAGAAATCAACCCTGACTGTTCCCTGGAAGGCCAGATAATGAAACTGAAGCTCAAATACTTTGGCCACCAAATGAGAAGGGAGCACTCACTGGAGAAGACCCTGATGCTGGGAAAGATTGAAGGTCAAAGAAGACGGGGACGGCAAAGGATGAGATGGTTAAACAGTGTCATAGATGCAATGAACATGAAATTGAGCCAACTTCAGAGGACGGCGGAAGACAGGAGGGCTTGGCGTGATCTGGTTCATGGGGTCGCGAAGAGTCGGACTCGACTGTGCGACTGAACAACAACAACAAAAAACCATTCTATATATATAAAAAAATCACTGTAACGTAACATAGTCTAGTCCAGTACATGGTTGGATATAGAAATAAAATATTGTCTTAGAAATAAATATTTTCATGCTAAACGTTCAACATAATTTGCACTGTGAAAAGACATTTTCTGTGTATGCAGCTGCTATACAGCACACCCCCAAATCCCTGGTTGGGATTGTTTGGTTATGCTGGTGCTTGAAAACCTTCTTGAGTATTTATTTTTTATGCAATCTTTTCATCCCACCCTCCCTTGCAAGCAGGTTCAGGGCAGGGTACAATTTAATAGCAAAACTGGGGGGGGCGGCAAATAGTGGGAGGGCTTCTAATGTCCTGGCCCCACTGTTGGACCTCCTGATGGCACCGGGTATTTTTGGCCACTGTGTAACAGAGTGTTGGACTGGATGGGCCATTGGCCTGATCCAACACTGGCTTCTCTTATGTTCTTAACATGTAAAAACAAAATTCATATAATGTAAATTAAAATCTAAACCCCCCAGTTAAACTGCATGATGGTGAGATGGTAACATATAAACCGAACTGTGTGACTCTGGACAGACCCTCAAGATAATAATTGGGCCCAGCCCCCAGCCAGTAATACAA